GGTGGACGTGGATTTGGACCGCAGCTCCTGATCAAGCTGGCAGCTGGTCTCGACGCACGCTGGCGGCGGCGATGGACGCGACCATGGCGGCTTTTCCAACGCCAGGCATGTCGGTCGTCGATCTTGCTGGTGATGTGGTGGCCCAGTGCTCGTCTACAGGAGACTGGGAGGGCCGGGCCGGTGGCTGTCTGCAGGTCCTACGCTGGATCAAAGCGGACGCAGCATCGGGATCGTACGCGTGTCGCCGCGACAGAGCCGAGGCAAGAGCCCTGCGCCCTCACCATCGAGGGCCGCTCGGCCGCCGTCGAGACCGTCAATCGCGAGAAGGCCTCCTTCGATCCGGGCAGCGTCGGCTCGCCGCTCGCCGTTATCGGCGTCGAGATGCGCGCCAAGGTGGGTCATTAGTTGAAGGCGGGCGGCCAGCCCTATCACGACAGCCGTAAAGGTGAGTGGTGCCCGAGCACCGGCGCCCCGCGACAGCGGCACCATGCTGATCCAGGTTCCCTTCCCGCCTCTCCCCCCTGACCAACAGATGGAGACGGCTGTCTCAGGCACTCGTCGGTGGCTACTTCAAGCGCGTAGCCCTGGTGGTGCGTCGCGGCCTGGAAGTGGTAGTATCGGTGAGCAGGCCATCCCTAGGACGCCTCGTCGATTCGAACTGTTCGGTTGTCGCAGCCTTGGAGTGGTAGGGTCGTTGAGCAGACGAGCAGATCCCAGCACGCCTCGTCGTTTCGGCCTTGCCGATTGTCGCAGCCTTGGAGCGGTGGCATGATGGGCAGGCCGAGGACGTCTTGACTCGATTCTACCTGGTCGATTGTCGCAGCCTAGCAGCGGCGGCGCCCGTAAGCAGGCCGTCCCCAGGACGGTCGACGCTTCCGTCTGCTTCGGCTGTCGCAGTCTCGGTGTGGTAGCGTCGACGATCAGGTCCTAGCACGCCTCGCAGATTTGACCTGGTCGGTTGCCGCTGCTTTGAAGTCGCAGGAGGGCTGATGTGGCAATGTGACCGGGCGGTGCAGTGCGGTGTGGCGATGCGGTGCGGAGCGGTGCGTGGACCAAGTCGGGTTCGCGCAGAGAATATCACCGAGAGCGTTGCTCGCTCGTTCTTCACACCTCGAAGCGGTGGCGTCCACGAGCAGTTCCTAGCACGCCTCTACAATTCCATCTGGTCGCCTGTCGCAGTCTTGGTGTGGTGGTATCGACGGGCAGTCGAGCAGGCCCCAGGATGCCTCGGAGATCGAGCTAGTTGGTTGTCGCGGCCTCGTAGGTCGCAGGACCGCTGAATGGGCGATGAGAAGGTGCGATGCGGTGCGGACCGGGGCGATGCGTTACCAAGTCGGTCTCGGGCAGAGGGTCGATCTCGGGCGGAGGGTATCATCGAGAGTCCTGCTTGCTCGTCCTAGACACCTCGAAGTGGTAACATCGACGAGCAGGCCCTAGGACGCCTCGTTGATTGGATCCGGCCGGCCGTCGCAGCCCTGGAGTCGGGCAGCGATGAGCAGGCCCTAGGACTTCTAGACTCGGCTCGACTTGGCCGATTGTCGCATCCTCGCAGCGGTGGCGTCGATGAGCGGGCCCCAGAACGCCTTGACGATTCGATCTGGTCGGTTGTCGCAGCGTCGGACTACCGGCCTCAACCCGCAGGCAAAAAGGGCCTAGACGATTCGACCTGGTCGGCCGTCGCTGCTTGGAGAAGTAGCGTCGACGAGCAGGCTTGAGGACGCCTCGATGATTCGACCTGGCCGGTTGCCGCAGCCTCGGAGTGACGGATTCGACGAGCAGGCCCTGGAACTGACTCTTCGGCGATTCGATCTGGTCGGCTGTCGATGCTTAGAGGTCGCAGGATCGCTGATTTGGAGGTGCGAGGGTGCGATGCCGTGCGGGCTGGGACGATGCGTGGATCAGGTCGGGTTCGCGCAGAGGATGTCGTCGAGAGCTCTGCTCGCTCGTTCTTGTCACCTCGGGGTGGTAGCATCAACAAGCAGATTCAGGGACACTTCGACGATTCGATCTGGTTGTTTGTCGATGTTTGGAGGTCGCAGGAGGGCTGGTTCGGCGGGTGGCGGGGAAGTTCGATGCGATGCAGTGCGGGGCGGAACGGGGTGAGTGGAACGGGGCGGGGCGGAACGGGGCGGGGCGGAACGGGGCGAGGTGAGGCGGTGTGGTGGGTTAGGCTGAAGTGCGAAGATCAAGTCGGTACCGCGCAGAGGATGTCAGCGAGATCCCAGCTCGACCGAGAACCCAGCCCGATCCAAAGCCCAGCTTGACCTGGGCGTCGAACCTCACCTGCTAGCTGGCAAGCGTTTGACAGGGAGACGAGGTAACAGTGAGCAAGGCGTCGATACTCACCTGCTAGCTCGCAAAGGTTGGAAAAGGGGGCGAAGAGACAAAGAGGAAGGTGGAGTGGTGGTGGTGGCGGATGTGGTCGTGGTGATGGGGATGGGGGTGATGGCGATGGCGATGGTGATGGTGGTGGCGAGGAAAGCGAGGGTCCGCCGTCCGCGCCGCCGTCCGCCTGCGTGCCGGCTCGCAGCCCACCGGAATTTTCCTCCACATTTTCTCGCTCGATTTTGGACGCGCGGACGACCAGAGAACCGGCCGGACGGGGGGAAAACGCATACATGACGACTCGCTCGTTGCTCTTCGCCCCTTTCTCGACCGGTCTTGCTGTCCGCCTCGGCCCCATCACACCTCGACGACGACCTCGACGGGAGCAAGGCGGCAATACCCCGCGGTGCAAGGTGCGACAGGCACTCGGGATCACGGGCGGATCGTACCGCGTCTTGCTGTGGCTCCACCTCGTCCCCACTGGCGTACGGCTAGCGGCGTACGTGGACCAGGCCCCAGGCAGGGTAGCGAAAGGGCGTGAAAAAGGCCGCGTCAGGATGGCAATCGGTACGACGGCAGGCTCGACCGTCGAATTGGAGGGCTGGCAGGCCGGTTGGCGGGCTGGCGGTCCATAGCGACGCCAAGGGATACGCAAGTCGTGGGTTCGACGGCGAGCTGCTCCGTCGCCCGAACTCGGAGCGTCGATGCTGCCATGCCGCCCATCATGGGCCTCCGACGCTGCTATCGGACGAGAGCGAGGGTGGCCGAGGGCTGGGCTTGGTCGCGATGCGGATAGGCCGGGAGAGAGGACGCGCACCGTACGCTCCAATATTGTGCCACCCCCGCCGTGGGAATGGCGTCAGGGCGCGGACCGAGCCGGCAGCCTGGCCAGCGCCTCGATGCCTGGCCCGATACCACGCCAGATAGCCTGGCCTGGTCTAGTCTGGCGAACTTGGCGGACGGGCGTCATCTCGACCGGTTGAGGTGGCTGCGTTTGAGCACCGCCCGCGTCGCGCCGGCCTTGGCTTGGCATGTCCTGGCATGGCCGACCGAACACCTTAGGGCTCTAGCTGCACGTTGGGCAGACGCAAAGAGGCCAAACTCACCAGCGTAGCGCGACGCAGCCTTGGCTGTCCTACCCGCTGCCTCTGCGGTGCGGCAGCTGGCCCGAACCAGGCAGCTAATGCGGCATCTGCCATCTGCACAGCTGCAGGTACCCTCGACTTTCCGCGTCGAGCCGCGACAATGGAGGCGCGAAGGATGCGAATCCAGCGCATACCAGGCGTGCGCAGGTTCTCGACCTCGGGGCGGTCTGGCGTACGGCTAGGCGGCTCATCCGGGCGAGACCCCCCTTTCCCCTTTTCGAGGGTACGGCCTTGGGAAGTCGGACGGCGCGCGGAGTTGAAACGGTTTCGGAATCGCATGAGCGCCGCGTCGGTCGCGTTGCTTCGCCGTGCACGTAGCGGGCCAGCCGGCACCAGCTCGGACGGACCGACCGGCACCAGACGGTGCTTGGGCCATGCGAGCTGGGGAGAGCGAAGGAGGCAGGCCGATCGTGAGAAGTGGGCCAGACTCAAGGCGTTGTCAGTTGCCAGGGGCAGCTGTAGTACGAGGCAGTGCTGCGGCTCACCATGATCCCATCGGCTTGATCCGCTGCAAAAGGCGAGGGGAAAACTAGGTGTGCCGCTGCTCGACGCGAGGAAGGAGGCAATGGTCCAAGAGGGGGGAACGGGATGCCAGAATCCTCAGCCTCGGACAAGGAGGGCGGATGGAGGGAGAGCGGGCAGTTCGAGGGAGGGCAGGCCGAGGGAGGGCAGGCCGAGGTAGGAAGGGAGCAGCTAACCCTCGCGACGGTACAGGAGCTAGGTGACGTGGAAGGAAATGGGGAGCCATCCCCATCGAGAGGTCGAAAGGCAACTTCGGCCGACGATCCACGCCGAGCACGGTCCAAACTACTGGCCTGGCCTGGCTAGCTACGAGCTCGCACGCCTGGCTGGCTGGCTCGCTGGCTGGCAGGCGTGTCGTCCTAGCCTGGTCTGGCCCTGCCTGATCCTGACTGTCTGGGCCCGTCCGACCGCTGCTCCCGGTACAGCCGCCCCGCTGCAGGTCCCCCCAGCCCGTTCCTTGTCGGCCACGCGCCAGAAAAAAAACCACGTTCACCCCCGTTTGATCTCCTGATCCCCGCAGGCGTCTCCCGTAATTTTCTTTCTCGCGCCTCGTGGCTGGCTGGGGGCCACGAGTGGTGGCAGCTGCACGCGTGAAAGCGCCAATGGTGGTGGAGGCGTGGACGAATCAGCCCAGCAGCAGCAGCAGTCCCTCAACAGCCGCTCGGCGCGTGTGTCCAGCTTTGGTCTCTGATCTCTGATCTCCAGCAGTCTCCCGTGATTTTCTCGTCGCCGCCGCCGCCCTGCTTGCCTGAGGAGTGAAGCCAGCCAGCCAGCCAGCCAGCCAGCCAGTCGGCTGGGACGCGCCTGCCGCTGATGCGTCCAGTCTCCCGCCATTTTTTTTTCTTCTTCCGACCGCGTCTTCCCCCTGGCTGCCCTCGGCTGGGCCGCCAGGGCAGCGGCCAGCGGCGAGGCAGCCCTGGGCCAGGGCCAGGACCAGCCAACCTTCCTTCCCTTCCCTCCCTCGAGCGCCCCTCGACCAGCCAGAGACACCCCTCGAGGAAGGTATAAAGGAGCTCCTCGCCGTCCTCCCTTCCCTTTCCTCCCATCTTCCACCACCGACAGCCAACCCCCCCTTCCCCTCCCCTCCCCTTTCCTCGACCAACCACCGCCCGACCTTCCGACTGGTCTCTCTCCTTCCGCCTTGCCAGCCGCCCTTTCCTCGCCCTTATGCTTGCCCGCCTGGTCCCTCTCGTCCTCATCCCTCACGTGAGTATCATGTCGTTGACATGGGGTAGACTGCAGGGTCTCACCAGTACTGGCAGCATGCCAAAGGGTACCCGCTGCAACCCTTAACTGCCCTGCGCAGTGGACGCGGACATGCTCAAGATGCGGTGGAGAAGTCCCGCTCGCCGTACCGTCCCATGCTCTGGTAACTCTGGCGAGTTCGGACGGCGGTCGTGGTCTCTCTCCTCGTGCATGGCTCGCCCCATTGTCGGCATCACGCCCTCCTTCGGTGGCGGGGCAGCAGAAGCGGCGTGCGCGGGGTTCCTGTTGTGTTGTCTTGGCTCGAGCGTCTGTCGGCTATACGGCGGCTCCCTAGACTTTAAGCGCTTCCCCGAGAGGGTTTGGATCCTGTATGAAACCGGGCTGACGAAATAAGCTTCCCTCTCCCTTTACCTTGTCATGCCTTCGTCCGGCCTCGCCGCTCGTCCATGACCCCTCCTTGTCTCGGCCAACCTACCACTTCTCCCCTACCCATTGGTTTCGGCGGTTCTCGGGTCTCGGTTTCGGTCTGCTTCGTCCTTTTCCGGATCCTCGTCACCGCTGGTGGTGTCGGCGATCCCGTCTCGGCCTCTTTTCATCCCCCTTCACTTCTTTTGCCTCCGCTCGTCGGTCGCACCCTTTGGTCTCGGCTCCCTTTTGCTCCGGCTCTCCCCTCGTCGCTCTCCGCTGGTCGGCCTGCGACTTGGGATCCTTTGTTTCTTCCCTCACGGGCTACCTGGTTTCGATCGGGTAGTCGCCCTTCACAGGTCTTCTTCAACGCCGCCGGATCGCAGCCCGCCTCTCCCCTCGGACCAACGCCGCCGGGTCGCAGCCCGCCTCTCTCTCTCCTCGGATCGACGCCGCCAGGTCGCAGCCTGCCTTTCTCCTCGGATCGACGCCGCCGGGTCGCAGCCCGCCGCTCTCCTCTTCGGACCGACTTGGTGAGTACGCCCCGCCCCGCTCCTATTCTGACGACGACTGTCCGCTTCGCAGCGGGTCGAGTTGTATCGAGCGCTAACGTCGCAGCATCGCCTCGATCGTCGCTCCAAGCTCCCCGCCCAGAGGGGTTTCCCAGCGCCCCTCAAAGCCGATCGACCAGCCCTCGGTTCGAGAGCTCGCCGCCTCCGACCCTCTTCAGCCCTCGCACCATCCGACACCTGCTTCAACCGAGGCTCCCGTCGTCTGCTCTCGCGATCCGACAGCGCAGTCGACCATCTCCAACATTTCGACTCGGTCTCGCTGCTGGGCCCTCCTTCCGCTCGACTATCGCACGGATCGCCAGCTCCGTCGCCAAGATTTCCAGGCAATCGAGGTGACCCCCAGACCTGCACAACAGCTGCACCGCTTCGATCGCCATCTTTGCAGTGCCGTGTTGCGTTGCAGCGAGCGTCGCCTCGATCGCCGCCTTCACCGCCGTTGCGTTGCGTCGTATCGATCACCACCTTCGCGGCGTCGTGTTGCGTTGCACCGAGCACCGCCTCGTTCGCCGCCTTCATCGTCGCTGCGTTGCGTCGTATCGATCACCACCTTCGCGACGTCGTGTTGCGTTGCAGCGAGCGCCGCCTCGATCGCCGCCTTCACCGCCGTTGC